TTCTGAGTGTGTGGTCATCTGTTCTAGAAAGGCTTCATCCAATTCTTGGGGGTCTGTAGTAGACTCCCACACTAATATCCCTATTGTTTCCTTCCCCTTTAATTTTTATCCAGATGCTCTCCACTTGGCTTCCCAGATTGATGTCCTGGATTTCTTCACTGGTGTAAATATCCCTGACATATAATGCTATTCCTCCTCCTTTCCTGTTTGTCCTGTTTCTCTTGAAAAGCTTATACCCCTTTATTTCTACATTCCAGTCATGAGACTCATCCCACCAGGTTTCAGTGATGCCTATTATATCATATTTGCTTTGTTGTGCTAGGAGTTCAAGTTCATCTTGCTTATTTCCCATGCTCTGTGCATTAGTGTAGAGACATCTAAGACCATGTGTCCCCTTTACTTGCTGCCTTTGCATGTTTTTTTGCCTCCCACTGTTGGGTCCCTGTACTGTTTGCCTTGTTTCCTCTATGACAGTTTTACTATTTTCGCCAGTCCTTTTGTCTTCCAGAACGTTGTCTCCCTTCCAGAACGTTGTCTCCCTTTCCAGAACGTTGTCTCCCTTAGGGAGGGATGTGACTGCTTTTGCCCACTTCCAGGTTTGAAGGGGCTGTTTTCTTTTTGGGGATGCAGATACTGCCCACAATGGATCCTGGGAATCATAGAATCATAGAGTTGGAAGAGACCACAAGGGCCAACCAGTCCAACCCCATTTGTCAGGCAGGAACTCACAATCAAAGCATCCTGGACAGATGGCCATCAAGCCTCTGATTAAAGACCTCCAAAGAAAGAGACTTCACTACACTCTGAGGAACGTCAAGGCTATTCATATGCTTTAAGACGATATATGGTAACTCACTATGTCAAGGGAGGAGGAATTTCTTTTGTGTCCCTTGTGTGAAAATCCTCCTCCCCCCGGTCTTTTTACAAAACATGAAGTTGCATCTGTGCCGTCTGCTTTGTCAGGAAGTCCTCCTTTATCCTCCAAGCAATGCCATGTGGGCTAATACCGGGTGTTAGCAGGGCCCCTTCCTTCCTTTCTTCTTTGAAAGGCGTCAGCCCACCTGGCCTAATTAAGGCCTGGGACTTCATCCTTCGTCCTGCTTAACAACTGCTGGGTAGTGAAAGATTTTAAGGGAATTGGCAGATATCCGATACACGGCTGAGCAACCACGTTCAAAGGCTATATTTGATCCTTGCCTTTTCTTTTCCTTTTTGCCATGAGCCCACCTGCTCGCTGCAGCTCTTTCTATCAGGTTCGTCCTCCGAAAAAAGAATCTTATTAATCTTGCAGGGAAGTTCAAGTTACACAGGAGCTATGTGGTGGGCTGGGATTGCTCTGTTCAATTGAAGACGGTGACCGGGGGTTGTTTCTTTAAGATTTAAAGTCTCCTGTATTAGATTTGTCTGGATAAGACAGTTGCAGATGATGGGGGGGGGG